GGTAGATGGATAGACAAATGAACAGATAAGTGGAAAAACACTAGCATTCACTGAGCACCAGTTTTGGAGCAGGCTTGATATTAGGTGCTTGCACAATTGTGTGCCCATGTAATCATCACAAACACCCTTGGGGCGGCTGTCACTCTCCTATTTTTACAGATGAGGAAGTCAGGCTGAGAGGTGAGTCATAAAGTTCAAACCCAAATCCCACAGTCCCCCTCTACTGCCTGCTCAGGTGTTGGCCCAGCCCCACCACTGGGGGAGACGTCCCCTCCTGAGGGTCGCTGTGCCCCAAGTGACTGAATACTTCAGCACCCACACAGCATGGGGTTTCCTTGCTCTGAAAACCCAGGGTCCAGGTGCACACAGTGCCTTTGGTAAACCCGCTATGTCCCTGTGAATTCCTTTTCACCGACTCACTGCAAGTTCAGAGTTGAGGCCTGGGCCAGGCCTGTGCCCAGGGCTCCAGGTTGAGGAAGGCACTGCTTGTTCCATGCTGGTCCCTGCCTCTGCTCCTGCTTCTCATCCTTGGCCAGATGTTCCCCAGTCCCTGTTGGCTTCCAGAGCACCTGAGTCCCCATAGCCACTTCCTCATCCATGGACTGACTCAGTCCCAGAAGAGCATTTGCATGTTGACCGTGAATTGCTTTCTCTCACACAACACTAAACTGTGCAGCTCCCATCTTGACCCTGAGCAGTGTCACTGGTCCCAGGGCCTGCTGGAGGCCAATCAGCAAGCTGGGGTGCCCTTGAGAGACACTCAGTACTGGTCACTATGCAATCATGGTAGGCTGGGCAACTGGGAGGCAGGAGCCCTATTACAGCCCTACTGCAACCCCCACTGGCTCCCCTACTTCCCCCAGCACCCAGGGAAGCCTCTCTGTCTTTGCAACGAAGCCCTTAGGGCCCCGAAGGGGCCTTATAAGCAGAACTCAGTCTTCTGAATCCTCTATGAACAGCACCGGTGTAGGGAACCAATGAGAAATAGTAAGGGGCTGTGAGTGTGTCATGGTCAAGGGTGGGCTAGAGATTTCCTGTGGCTTTTGCTGGTGGTTCAGATACTTCCAGTCATATACACACACAGACACCCACAGACACATAAGTACACAGAAACACATATAAACACAGGCACACACACACAGACCACTAGACACATCTATACACAGAAACTCACAGACACCTAAGTACACAGAGACACATATATACACACACAGACACACAAAGGCACAAACGGAGACACACACAGAGGCACATAAATACACACACACATACACCCATAGACACAGCCATACACAGAAGAAAATGGAACTCAAGGAGGAGATGGAGACAGAATGATGGTTAAGCGACTGGGAAGGGTAGAGGGGACGGGACTGAGAGGGATGGAAGCAGAGAGTACAGAGGCCCTGAGTAGTGGCCACCTGGGGAAGAGGCGGGACCGACGTCCAGGAGGGAGGGCTGTGTGCTGCGGAGACAGCGAAGTGTGGTCTGAGCAAGGGGGCTGCCAGCACCTGATGCAGACGTGCAGAGCAACGAGAGGCTGGTTTTGGTATCATCCCTCACCTTCCCTCCTTGCTGATGCCTGGAAGGGGCTATTACGAGGAATATAGAGCTGGAGTATCCACTAGCAAAATAACACATGGAAGTTACTAGCAAGAGAACATGACCAGACAAGACAGACACAGAAAGGCCA